TTTCAGATGTTTCTTCAAAAACAATAATTCATTGCAGGCTTAAAATCATTGAAATATACTCTCCTCCCATTGCTTCGGCCGGTTTGGCACTTAGGTGGAAGCCACCTTTCTGAGCGACTGTAAACAGCGTCATGTAACAGTCATGGTAATTCTACCAACTGTATGTTCTTTCAAGTGCCAGCGGTTTTCCAGTTACAATTACATTTCAACCTGCAACCTGCACCCTGCACCCTGCAAAATATACCTGCCGAGGGGTAGACACGCTGTGACAATGCTGCTTTCAGTCATTTTGTCACTATGATTAGTTGCACAAATTCAAACCAGTTTGAATTCGTGCGACAGTTCACAGCGACAAAGATTTTCACTTAACTTCTTCATGCCACACAAGGCAAATTGTTGCAGCGACTTGTCCCCGCGACGTGTCGCCTAGTGTGTCTCAGCTTTAAAATGGCCATCATCTATTTAACATACCACAAACCCCCGTGTGCCCATCAAATCTTTACTTCCACAGAAATTGAGAGAAATTAAAACACAAGTACTACACTGAATTCATATTCCACCACATTACAAATGGAAATCAATAAAGTGATGCGTAATTCTATGCAGATAACTGATAACTCGAGTCAAAAGTGAAAGTGATTATTTTGTTGTCTGATTTCCGTTGATCTTGTTTCTTTCTAATATTTTAAACTACTAAGTTGTAAACAGTAACTACGATTCGACTAAACATAAAGGGCTTGTTACTTTGGAGATAAAGAAAAGACCTGGCTTTACAATTAACATAAGACCTTCGATCAAAAGTTTAACTCACCTTGTCTCCCGAAACGTCTGAATTCATTGACGCGGAAAAGATTGAGTGAGAAGTAGGAACTCCAACTCACCTTATCACAGCTTAGTTTTCACCAAACAAACGGCAGTTTACATCACGATAACGCACTGAACAATCCTCTGAACTCTCAGCTGGTTTCCTAATAGCTGTAACAACCGCGTGTCTTTCTCTTGATGAATACCGTTTAATAACAAGAACACTTCGCCTACTACATCTGACAACGTGGCACTATAAAACGATGTATGCGCATGTGCAAAACTGAACTATACTGGAATTGTTGGAATGGTGGACTGGATATTACAATAGCCCAAAACGCCAGCAAAATCTCAGGACATACAGAATTTCAGAGTTCACAGACGGCTGCATACGCTGCTCGCCAGAGGGAGAGTCCGAGAACGAGGCGGAATGTAATACGGACTCGTTCCCCGTTACGTCCGCGAGTTGTCTGACAAAATATCCTGCTGATTTCTACCGGAAGTTGCGGGGCATGCCGGGTTAAAAATTGGGGGAACTAGCTCCAGTCTCCATTATAAAAAAACACGCGCGGAAAAAATGGCGTCAATTTGTTTTCATT